TAGTAGTTGTCATTTGAAAATTTGATACGAGTTAAGTATATAAAGCTGAAATCAGAAAATTATTTATTTGTGTTTGTACCTCAACAAAGTTCTATTATAGTTAAAATTTTTTTAAAAATTATTAGCACTAATATTTCCAAAAATATTTCATGAGGCGTAATTAAGAAATCATCCTGTAAATAACGCGATTCATTTATTATGAACCACTTAATTAATAGAAAAATAAAAATAAAATTGAGTTTTTTTTATCGCAATGAGGTATACGTTTTTATTAATTTTTAATCATATATTATTTTTTATTTTAATCTCTTAAAGGATTAACATACATAATAAGGTATACTTTTTTAAATGGCAGCATACATTTAATTAACTTATTTAATGTTAGTTATGAATGGAGATCAGATTTATCAAGACCCAACGGAAGCACAAATGTTTCGTATCTTATAAAGAACATAATACTGTATAAAAAGTGATATAAAGTGTATAAAGAAGAGTAAATTGTTCTACTACCTGTGATTCCTTATCCTAAATAATACCACATCTAATAAACGTCTGTCAACGGACAACTAATACTAAGATTACACCGTCCACTACCCTCTATCATGTGATAACAAACCGGCTTGGGAAATTAAAAAATCACGTTTTATGCTGTTTAAAAGAATTGTCAATCTTAGTTTTTTACGGTTGCTGTTAAAGCTTTAATTTTTTCATTATGGCGAATGTCAAATCATAAATGGAGTAAAATTCATATTATTTGGCTTTGCCATAGTCATACATTACTCTATCAACTAAAAAGTTGGACATCGTACCTAATATGTAATGTGGTATTATTTTGTTTGTATATTCGCACAGTGTACAAATTTTACAAGTTTATTTTTATTCTATTCTATTTTGTTAACTGACCATATTTTAACTACGGTTCGATCTAATATTTATTGGTCAATCCTATTTAATGTTTTTCTTCCTCACTTATCCCCCTTTACATGAGCTGGCAGTTCCTTTAATGCGGCCAAAGTGGGCCTGATGTATATCACCTTGAATGTATTGTACATTTTTACACATGCATTCGGTTTTTCATGCTTATGTACGCCCTATTCTTTGATATTGTATCGTTGATATGATAAATTTATTCCTTATTCTGTGTAATTAACTTAACTAATTGATGTTCAGAATTTAGGTTAATTTTAACTAGAAACTGATTATTTAATTTTTATGTTGTTGTTTATATATTTAATAAGATCAATTGTTCACCTGTTAAAGCATGTTTAGTAATTTGAGATAAATTTGATACTGATATTTTTTGTCAATAATAAAAAAATACTTTATTTTTCTATTCTGTCATATAATCTATTGTTTATTAATTAAGGTAATTTTATTTAATATACAAAAATCATATCTTTAATAACTCATGACTATTAATAAACGCATAGTTTTTACTATTTGTGTCAAGCTATTTATCACTGATGGAATGAATAAAAAAAATATTGTAATACGTATTATTATAGAGTGTTTTTAACTAAATAATATATCTCTTTACAAAAATTAAAAATGTTCAATATTTTCTAAGTAAAATATGTGTTATACTCAAAATTAATCTCCCTTTATACAGAATAATGTTCTTTATAAGTTACGAAACATTTGTGCTTCCGTTAGGTTCTTGATTAATTTACTAAAATTATATTAAAATAATTAAATTAATATAAAAAAACATGTTCAAGTAGAAAGGAAACCGTATAATTGATATTAACCATAATGATTTTATTTATAACTAGATAAAATTTTAAAAATGTGTAAACCAAATTTTTTTCTCATCAAACTTCTTTAGTTATGATATTAATATGATACTTTTCAGAAATTGTAAAAGGACTAAAATACATTTGGGGTGTTTGTGATAAAGATTGTCCATACTGCTATCCATCGAGTAAGTAAATACTTTTATTAATAGTTATTAAAAACATAACCTAGCATTACTTTATTCTTTAATTTTTTAGTTTTTTCCATAATATATTAATAGGTTACAAGATTAAGAATTAGATCATATTTTTACTATTGCTACATTTTAAAGAATAGTTCACTACATCAACTACTACTTTTTGAAATACTTAGAAACGATATTACTTACAGTACTTTAAAAGTATTGTAATACTTTTTGCGTTTATTTAATTAATTAATATTTTTAGCTTTACAGGCCGTGAATGCTTTTTACCGCTATTACCATGTTCTCTATAGATCCCAAACATCCGCATAACCAATTTTTTTTATTTCCAGGCTTTCCAAATCGTTTGGGCGGATACTCTTGAGTATTCGTCCAAAAACCGTGAAGCCCTGCTCAGGGTGCAGAGGCGGGTGGCGATCCGGACAGTTTCGGCGTACCGAACGGTGTCCGGAGTGGCGACGGGTATCCTGTCGTCACTGCCGCCCGCCGACCTGCTCGCCGAGGAACGCGCCGCCGGGCATGAGCTCCGTCGAGAGCGCAACCGGTCCCTCGAACCNCAAGTGTCGTCTTACAAGTACCACAAATCGCAAGTGAATATCACTCATAAAAGAGAGAGTAATTTTTATCTATATTTTTTTAATAAGTCTCACAGTCTTGTGATTTTGGTTTGGCCTGACAAAATAAAATTTTTTTTTCCACAGGCTGTACAAATATTACATATATTTTGCTCATGATTTTTTACACTTTTAAAACTTATATTTGTTTTTATTTAATATAAAATATTATTAATGAATCACTATTATCGTTCTTATTTTAAATATTTGTAATAAAACTTTTAAATAATAACTCAAAATACTCAAATAGATAGTCTAAAAACAAACAGTAGACCGAATTTGTTGTCAATATTACAAATGCACAATGGAGTTAAAATGTTTGTATCATATTCTTTACTTTTAGAGGTTGTACTTCGTCTAACAAGCATCAATTGTGATATTAGGTAGATATTCAAGAGATACTTTAGTATGTCTTGAATACTATTATTTATAATTATAGGTGTTTATGTGTGGGTATAAATTATTTTACTACATATTATAGATTTTTGAACCAAACAATTTACTTTTATACAGGGTGTTAGTAAAATCAATGTCACGAGTAGTCGGGTGATATTCAGTAGGATCTAAAAATAGCGAAATCAAAAACTAAAATTTCCTATCTCCAAAATTGGGGGTTTCCCGATTCCCCACTTCAAATTTTATTTTAATCTAAAATAAACATCACCACGGTATTTCCCAAAAAATTCTCATACAAATTGAGTGGTCACTCGATTTTTTGTAACTTTCGCGCCCTCCCCTGAACATTGGGTTCAAAGTTGGATAAAAATATCACTTTAGTGTGACCTATCAATTTGTATTGAAATTTTACTGGGAGTTTTGTGATGTAGTTTATTTTTAGTTTAAGCGATTACATAACGAGAAAAACAGGAAAACCCACAGATAATGTGAAAAAATCTATCATCCTGTTACAGAATGTCTTTATAAATAACAAAACATTTTTGTTCTCATTTGGTTCTTGAAAGATTTATTAAGATAATAATAAACCCCTTCTATTTAAATTAATACAAAAACCTTTTTACCTAGAAAGGAAACATTATAATTTATATTAACCATAATGATCTTATATATAACTAGATAAAATTAGAAAAATGTGTGAACATAATTGTTTAATAATCAAACTACTTTGTTTATGATAATAATATGATAGTTTTCAAAAATTATAAAAACATTTAAAAAAATGTATTAAGTATTTATTTGTTCCATTCTTTCCAGTTGTCTAGTTGTTGGATTTCGCTATTTTCAAATAAATTATTACTCTACCGCTACCGCTACATTTTAAAACATAGTTCACTACATTAATCATTTCCTTTTTAAATATGTAAAAATGTTATTATGTATGCTACTTTTACTTTTCTTTCGTATAAAATAGATTGTCAGCGCTATAATTCTATAGATTAAAATCTTTTTTGATGAAATATAATGGAAAAGACTTGGTACTTCCTATTACTTAGGCGAAAAAAATCATTAATATAGGTTGGTTGGTATGATTATATGAATATTATATATAATATGTATCTATGATTGCTCTTATAACATAATAATGACTTAATTTTGAATAAATTAAAAATAATTATTAATTTTTGTATGTTTAATAAAACTATAATTGTATCCTATAAAAATTTACCACAAATTGTGATAACATAAACTATTATATTAACAGCAAGTGATTAAAAGTCCTATTTATTTCTAATTAATTAAAATATTATCAGTCAAAATTTTTCTTGATTCATTTATAAATCTTGTACATAATATTTTATACAAGATTTTAAATTTAATACTGGCCACTCGATATTTCTTAAAATAATAACCATGTTAAGAAAATTAATTTTGGTATTTTGTAGTTTCATATATTTCTGAATTTATTAGTTATAGACTACTTTTTTAATCAACCCTCACGTCTTTTAAGGATGTCAACTTTATTTTTTTAATTACAACGCACATAATTAACTAGCTTATAGAATAAAAACTTTGGTCTAGTACCAAAATGTGTATTAGCATTAAAACATAGACGGTGGTAAAGTGCGGTTGCGCTATATATACAAATGTTAACAACTTTCAAAGTACTAATTCAAAAGTTGTTATCGAAGATTTTTTTTTATTAACTAGATGACTTTCTATTTTATAAGCTATTTAAAAATATTACAATTTAAAAAAATATTGTTGATATTCTTATAAGGTATAAGGGACAAATTAAAAATGTAACTAATAACTAAAAAACCAAGAACTATATGAAACTAAAAAATTCAAAAAGTATTTTTCTTAACATAATTATTATTTTAACAGAAATCGAATGTATAGCGTATTTATTGAATATACAAGGTTATTTTTTTTTTATCATGGCCCACTCTACAACTCGCAGAATAAAAAAAATGTTGAAAAAAGTGTTTTACACATTTTTAGTGACATATATTATTCTCAAACTTTTAGCTTTGTAATACTTTTTAAGTTTTATTCCAGATACCTTGTAAGGTTGGAAACTTTGGTTTTTTCAAATAGAAACACATATTTGAAATTAAATAAAATGTTTGAGGTTTATATTTAAGAGTAAACATAACAATCGTTTATTAGATATAATTCTATAAAGTATCAAATTTTTGAGTTAAAATACATGTGTAATGTATGAGGTAATCACAAATTCGCAGCTTTTATTGTCAAACATCACTTTATCAATTTATATAATTAAAGTATGATAGTTTATAAGGCACAATGTTGTGAATTAAAATTTATAAATATATCAACTAGCAATACAGAAATCATATCTGTCATAAAAGGACAATTGCATACCTTTATTTGTAATCCCTTATATACATTATACATGTATTTTAACTCAAAAATTCGAAATTTTTAAGTATTATATTGAATAAACGGATGAAGCTACGTTAAAAATTCAAACGCCATTTACTTATAAATTAAAACCTCAAAAATTTTATACGCTCTGTAACCCATACATAAACACCTATAATTATAAATAATAGTATTCAAGACATACTAAAGTATCTCTTGAATATCTACCTAATATCACAATTGATGCTTGTTGGACGAAGTACAACCTCTAAAAGTAACGAATATGATACAAACATTTTAACTCCATTGTGCATTTGTAATATTGACAACAAATTCGGTCTACTGTTTGTTTTTAGACTATCTATTTGAGTATTTTGAGTTATTATTTAAAAGTTTTATTACAAATATTTAAAATAAGAACGATAATAGTGATTCATTAATAATATTTTATATTAAATAAAAACAAATATGAAAGTTTTAAAAGTGTAAAAAATCATGAGCAAAATATATGTAATATTTGTGCAGCCTGTGGAAAAAAAAATTTTATTTTGTCAGGCCAAACCAAAATCACAAGACTGTGAGACTTATTAAAAAAATATAGATAAAAATTACTCTCTCTTTTATGAGTGATATTCACTTGCGATTTGTGGTACTTGTAAGACGACACTTGTAACGGAACAAGTTATTAGCCTGGTGACATGTAATTAATGATTGGATAATTAATAGGCATGACACCCTTGCAAGATTATACAATAGATGGCCCTTAAGTCAAGTTAGTAATATGGTATGAACAAGATTACTATAAGTTTCATGAACACAACAAGGTTCCCACTCCTAATTATAAAGAAAACCATAACTTTAAAGCTTAAAAAACATTATCAGAAAAATTTTTTTTTTCTATTCCCTTTCTTTTAATATTTTGACCTTATATAAAGTTCAGAGTCGAATCTTTAATAGAGGAGAGGGTAATGTAAAAACATTTATTACTATGTTCCTACCACTTATATTACACACGTTTTATTTCCATTTACTTTATTCGTAATACATATTAATTAACATAGAGGGAGATGCTGATGTGACAATTCTACTCGTCTGTAGCCCGGAGCTACTGACGTCGAACTAACAAAGGACTGTTGTGTTTGAATGGCCATTATAGGCATAGTTTTCAATACTATTACTTTCGTCTTATTTATATTATTTATAACTTAACTTGTTTTATTCAACGACCCGTCTATCACCAATTGTCATCATAGCCAACCAACCCCATCTCACTTGGATATACCTACTAACCAACTGTACTAGGATTCAGGTCAGACGCATTGTACATTACATATAACTTATATTTACTGAACATTTAAAATATAACTTTACTTTGTCGTTGATATAAAACAATAATCTAACATTATTTAATAATCTATACCCTGTAACTTAGGTACACGATTGCCTGTATCTCCTTCAGGTAATTAAAACTCATTTAAGGAGATAGGGACGATATTTGGGCAGACGTCGGGTAGCTTCCGATTCTTGGTTTCGACTAAGATCTTCAAGTATTAAACAAGCTCCTAACGCGGAAATACAAAGCAACTACGAGTGTGCACATAAAAAGTACTGACTACATTCCCTGCGTATTAACCCTTTTCGGTAATGCTAAGAAACATCGCGTAACACAGCAACACGTAAATCACCTAAGTAGATATTCTCATTTTAATATTTATAAAGTTATGGATTGTATGCATAATAATTATTTAAAAGATTAGGAAAGTATTATACAAATTTATATATGCACATCAGGTTTCATTAAGTCTAAAAAAACCAAAGTAATGAATTTTCTCGTTATTTGTAATATTTATGTTATCATAAAATTTTCTTTAATATTATCATCTTCATAAATATATGATGGATAAATATTGAATTGTACTGCTATATTGGTTTTATTTATTTATTTTTATACGATACGGTTAGCTTTTAATTCTTTGTGTAAGAAACAAATCATTTACTGTGAGTAGTAAGCCGCCTCTAGGCAAGTTAAGTAGGTTTATTGCACACTTTTTGAATATAAAAAAAATATTCAAAAAATGTTAAAAATTAAATATATCATTCAACCTTTAAATTCTTACAGTTAACGGATAATACTACTGTATATTACAATCAACATGCTGTAACAGATAAAAAGTTGATTGAATAAAAAAATAATTATAAAGCCATAATTGTCTTACATAAGTTATTGTTAATAATTTCTTTTTCTACCACGTTATAAAGTTAAAAGTAGGTATCATATTTACAAAAATTAAAGTTAAGGTTTTTTTTTTTATCTTTGACAAGATGAAAATACTTATTTTACTATATATTATTGTAATTTTTAAACCAAATAATTTTCTCTTTGTGAAAATTTAAAATTTCTAAGAAATTAAGTATCTTACACAAATTCAACATTTTGTAATAAAATGAAAAGTGTTATCTAAAAATAATTATTCAAAAATACAATTTATAACTTTAGATAATTTTTAGCTCCAGAAGAAATTATAAATTTATTAATAAAAAAATCCAAAAAGTACGGAAATTGTGAAAAATGCCATGAATCTTTAATAAAAGAAATTAAAAATATTACTGCAGAATATTTTACAGATGGCTTCATAGGAGCTGATCAATTGTATAACCTCTGCAGAAAAGAATTACCCAATACTACTAAAGATATTACTATTGAAGATTGTAAAGGGTATGTCCAAAATTATGCAAAAAACAACGCAGAAAAAGGACTAGATGGTTCTGGTAAGATATACGTTGTCTAAATTAATAGTAATGTTATGAGTGTTGTCGGACTATTAACATAGACTCATTCAGAAAGATGCAAATTACAAATGTCATTATTATAATAATTTAATAAATACAACCAGGAGCATATTTAGAATTCATTTAAGATGGGGCGACTTTTTTTTTTTTTATTTAGTAAGCATAGAGAAAATTTTATTGCTGAAAATCAAATTCATGAACAAATAAAAATCTTTTGAGCCATATTTTGTAAAAATTGCCTTTAAAAAATATTTTTATTTTAATTGTAGAATCTTTTTAAACACCAAAAGATACTAGGAAATGATTATATTATTTCTATTTAAGTGATCTATTACAATAAAAATGCAAAAGTATATTGAGCTCTTCTGATTAATTTACTGTATAAATTACTTGATAGTTATTATAAAATTTCCTGACTGCACATTAATCTTAATAATATAATTTGTTTAATTCTCATAAAATTTTCTATTTTATATCAATATCAAACTTGCAAGTTGAACTAAAAGTTATTGTTCGCGCCGAGTGTGAGAGCTGCACTGATTGGGTGTAAACAGGTGGTAGTGCTTGTGCGCTATCACCTGTTAAGACGCCTTATCAGCTTATTACCGTGTTGTTCGGTCGGTTTTTTATTCAAAATGTAAGTGTGTACCGGTTGTTATTATTATACAGTTTAGTTTTTAAGTTACATTGTTTTTTCATTTGAAGTAATTGTTGTTTTGGTATTAATCAGTAAAAACTTCGCTCAATTTTTCGTTTTAAAATATATCGTTCATATTAAATTGTAAATTCGTATAGTTGTATTCTGTTTTATTGGTTATAACATTATTACAATAAAGCTACAGGTGGTATATCACCTTTATAAATGGTAGTTTATTTTATTCATGGTATTCAAACAAAATTAAAAACTGAATGTAAGTAATATGGGTGTTTATATTTATTAATTATTTAATTCATCAACAATAAAAATTAGTGTTGTTATTTAAATTATTTCTTTATATTTATTAAGTTAACCAATCTTTTGGATAAACAAAAAATATTTTGTATTTAACAAATTCTAAATTGTATAGGAAAGTTTTGTTGATTAATAGTTGCCCCTATATTAATCCGTACAGCAAAGTTCTAATTCACATTTATATTTGGGATCTTTATTTTTAGAACAGCCCAGGCGGCAACAGTTATAGTAAATTAATATATTTTTATTATAAACTTCCCAAAAACAACTTCAAAAAACCAAAAAATAGATTAAAAATGATATTTTGCATTGATTATTTTTAACATAATAAAAATAAAAATCAGTAATAATTTGAAAACATTTTTTTTGTTTTAATTATATCTTTATATGTAAATATTCATTTTTTAAAAATTAGTAATAAAAAANTGTGTACCGGTTGTTATTATTATACAGTTTAGTTTTTAAGTTACATTGTTTTTTCATTTGAAGTAATTGTTGTTTTGGTATTAATCAGTAAAAACTTCGCTCAATTTTTCGTTTTAAAATATATCGTTCATATTAAATTGTAAATTCGTATAGTTGTATTCTGTTTTATTGGTTATAACATTATTACAATAAAGCTACAGGTGGTATATCACCTTTATAAATGGTAGTTTATTTTATTCATGGTATTCAAACAAAATTAAAAACTGAATGTAAGTAATATGGGTGTTTATATTTATTAATTATTTAATTCATCAACAATAAAAATTAGTGTTGTTATTTAAATTATTTCTTTATATTTATTAAGTTAACCAATCCTATTTCGGATAAACAAAAAATATTTTGTATTTTAACAAATTCTAAATTGNAGTTAACCAATCTTTTGGATAAACAAAAAATATTTTGTATTTAACAAATTCTAAATTGTATAGGAAAGTTTTGTTGATTAATAGTTGCCCCTATATTAATCCGTACAGCAAAGTTCTAATTCACATTTATATTTGGGATCTTTATTTTTAGAACAGCCCAGGCGGCAACAGTTATAGTAAATTAATATATTTTTATTATAAACTTCCCAAAAACAACTTCAAAAAACCAAAAAATAGGTTAAAAATAATATTTTGCATTGATTATTTTTAACATAATAAAAATCAAAATTAGTAATAATTTGAAAACATTTTTTTTGTTTTAATTATATCTTTATATGTAAATATTCATTTTTTAAAAATTAGTAATAAAAAAAGTATATTTTTTCTTCTGAAGAAAGTTCATTGTAGTCCAGTGTATTTATTCATAAGTAACAAAAAATTTTTATTGAAAAGTTTTGCATCAAGCCCTTTAAATTTTTATACTTGTTAAAAGTAAAGAAATATACAACTACTTAATTATTTTTATAACATCTCCGTAAATATTACAATATTAAATTATTGAATATAAATTTCATACTAAATTTTATTACTATAATTGTTGGGTAGAGTGTGGCATTCGTGTATGACCGGTTCGAACGTGTTCATGTTATGTCCGGCCGTCGTCCTTTTTTCAGTGAGCGTCATAACTTTTTTTATACGTATACAGTACATTCGTTTTGCGCCTCTAAGATTCGATAGTCGTTCCTCAACAAATATATAGTGCGTTTTTTTTCTCTCGTATACACAGCAAACGCCTCCGCGTGTTTGTGCTATATAACGGCCACAGCTCGCCATATTTTTATTGTTTTTGCTCATTCGGTTACGTCTTGGCAGAACTTGTAAACTCTAGACGTACGAGGTTTTTTGTGTACTTGTTTTGTACTTATATATCCGTGTAAAACAACCCTTCTCGCATATTACGGGCTAGTGGCATCGTACACGTCGTCATAATTTTAACGCTCACATACATACGCCATCATCTTACATTATACAGCTAAGTTTATAATTGTTTGTTTTATTTATTTTATATTTTGTTTATAGCCGCTTTGTCGGTCATTCTAGTATGTAAGTTACCCCTCCCCCTCCTATCCCTTTATTTATTAAGAGTTTTAATTTGCAGAACTGTAATATATAGATTCATATTTTGTACATTCATAATCAGGTGCGCCTATTTTCTTACACCCTCTTATTTTCCGTATTTTGTTTTCTACAAATAAACAATACCGCCGCACAGTAACAGGCAATCCTCCTTTAATATTAAGGGGCTGCTGGTCACAATAATTATTTTTTATTCATATATTATACTTTTAAATGAAAGACCACTAAGCAGGATATAATTAAGAATATAGGAGTCAATTTTGTTTTTGGAATAATACACCAATTTTTTAAAATTAAACACTATCTACAAATTTGCATCGAAGCGTTTTTTATGATAGTGATTTTAACCACTGTCAGATATTATTTATACTTGTCCCAACTATGCCACGTCCATACTGTGCCGCAACCCCACTGTTCTACCGTTTTTTTCTTCTTAAAACTGCTATAACATTTTTAAAAATAAACAAATAAACATAATTTTTTTTTTTATAAACAATTTGGTATATTTTTTGTGAAAATGTGATCCTTTACTTGCCTACAGGGAGTTTCAAAATCGTAACTTTTCCACAAAAAATTGGCTTTTGAAAATGCTCCGGAAATACGGACATTTCTACATTATATATTTTTAATTAAAGCTTATGTAATATATTTTAATTTGGAAAAAAATTTGTCTTTATGGTGAAAATATGATATTTTTATGATAAAATTCTTGATTTTANGGCTACCCTATTCAAAAATATGATATTTTTATGATAAAATTCTTGATTTTATATTAAATACAGAAATCGTTTTATAAGAATATTTTCAAAAACCATTAGCAATATTAATGATAATATTTTTATATAATTCAGTTGTCAATTAAAAAATACTCAACTTTGAACTTTTCATTTTTTTTGTTTTAAATAAAGTGGAACTCAACCTTGTGGTAACTTAATTACTTTAATTTATTTGTTTCAAACTAATACAGTTAAGTATTAGAAGTACATTTTTAAAAAATAATATAATTTTAAAATAGTCCAATAATGAGATGCATGATAATTTTCACGACTACAGCGTAGGAAAATTTTCTTATAAATAAACAAGTTAAATTTAAGTTCATCAAAATCAATTTTTTCTTTAAAATTTATGACAAAACTAAAATTATTAAATAAATGAAAAAATTTTCTATTAAATATTATATTTTTCTTTTTGACTGTGGTTTTAACCACAATCTTAGTATGGTTTGATTTACTTTATTGTTTATTTATTTATTTATTTTTTTTTTTTTTAGAATTGTTTAGTGTGTTTCGTGCGATTAAAGCTCAGGATGAATCGAAGTAAAATTATTAAGATAAAAAGTAATTTAATTTTTGCAAAATTTTTTTTCATCAGTTACTAATTCAATATAAATTAAAATGTGTTAAATAAAATATAAATTTTTAGTTTTTGTTTTTGTTTTATTCTCTTATAATAAATGAAAAATCATGCTACAAAATTATTATAAGTACGAATATAATTTTTATTTTATTATTCCAAATTATGTATTATTTTAATTAATTTTTCGAAACTTTAATTTTGATATTTTTTGTCAGATATTTGAAAGCAATTGATTGCCGAATAAAATTTTATTTAAAATAATAGTGATAAAAATAGTTAATAGTTGTACCATTACAATTATATAAACAAGAAAGTTTTTATAATATAAACAAAAATTATACAATATATAATTTGATTTATTGTTTGGCAGCATTACTGAATTGCTGCTAAAATGATTACCAAAATGTTCGTGCCTTACGTACTATTGGTAGTAGAATTGAAAGAAAAATAACTTAATTTAATTGAACGTTCCAACATGGACTTTTTGAAATAAGTAATAGAGCTCTAGAGTACTTTATTTCAATAGTCAAAAAATGTATCAGTATAAGAAACCCTTACTAACTAATACAAACTGTATTATCAAAACCAAAGTCAGTTAAGTACTGTGAAATCCACTGATAGATGAATGTCAATGAGTTAGATTATTATTTACTTTATATTGTTAAACACATTACCAAATATTTGTTATTATCAATACTTAACTGAGAATTTACCTTACTTTTGAATAATTTTGACAATAAAAGAAAAGTTCAGGTTTTCGTTAAAATTTCAAACCTTCAAATACCTAAGTTATATGCTTTGCCAAAAATACATAAGTCGGGAAATAATATAAGACTTATTGTGTCGAATATTAATGCCCCAACTTACAATTTAGCAAAACACTTAGTAAGGGTGTTTTGATCTATTCAAAAATTAGATAGCCTTTTAGTTAAAAATAATATTGACTTAGTTCAAAAGTGATCTGGTTATACTATTCAAAATAATGATAGGTTAATTTCTCTCGACGAGTAGCCTTATTTCCAAGTATTTTAATAAATATAACAATGTGCTATGCGAGCACGTCAAATTGGTTTTCTTAAAGACTGGCTAAAGGGAAAAAACACAGAACAGGATAAAATAAATGAGTTTATTAATTTAACAAAGTTATGTGTATAAGACAAAATATTTTTCAGTTTCAAAATAAATTTTATTAGCAAATTGAGGGCACAGAAATCCACTATAACCATTTTTAACTGAACTTTTCATGAGTAGGTTCGAAACAAATTTAAAACAAACCTATGGTGATTTTACGAAAATTTGGGTTTGGTACGATAGTATGATATATGATGTTAGATGATATTTTTTCAGTAATAAACAAAGATTTTAATAAGAAGATTATCATACAACATTTAAATTCTTTTTACCCTTCGATGACTTCCACATATGATAAGAAGATAATAATGTACGATCACACTGGCTAATTTATAATGTTGTTAAGTACTATGTAGTAGTTATGGCGAAGTAGCCGTTGAAAGCAGGCAGTGATTATTTCCTTTAATCAACGATTTTGTAATTAATTAGTATTATTCTCTGTCGTACGTCAGTAGTACCCCGACGTAGATACAAAAAGTAATACACAAATTAACTAACGTTTTTTGACAAGTTCGTCGTTATTAGTTCTTCTCGAGTCCTCCCGTTGGAGACGCTATTTTTTTTTTCCTACGACCGGCTAATGGTTGGCCGCCCTACAATATAATACAATAAGGTATTCCGTTGGATGCGCTGGTCAGCCCCAATTTCTCTAATTAGTGAACTACTAAAGGGGTAGAGCTTAGACCCGTCAATACGGTCTAGCTCAAAAGTAGCAGACTGAAAGGTGGCTTCTCGTAAGCCACCAGCAAAACTATCTTTTCACTATACCTACTAAAGGACGGTTAAGCCCAAAAACTAGCCAGCACGCACACTAATTATTAAGATCGATTAAAGGACTAGCAGTTCAATCTCGACTGTTGCCGCACACACACACACACACAATTTTAACGATATAAAGTATTCACGCTCAAGTGCAGGTTTTTAAATAGTTATTTTATTTACGAAACGTAATAAAAACAAAATCAAAATGTAATATAAAAATGAAACACAAAATAGATTAAGTCGTACAAAATATAAAGTTATTCACACCAAACGCCTTACCCGAAACTCGACGTTTCTTCGTCAAAACGTCAATATCCCTCTATACTTTTCATGTTTCCCATAATATATTATTTTTTCCACCATTATTAATTTGCTTACCCTGCACTTTCCCTTTATATGAACATTATTATATTGCTTAAGAATTTAAGAATTGCTTACTACTGTGGTAAAATTTATATTATACTAATATTGACGTTATTTGATACTTCCTCAGCTATCTACAACAGTTCTTGTTTTCTTATGTTATTGGAATTAAAAACGAAATTATCTTAAGATTGAATATATATTTTTTTAAAGAAGTTAACACATACGAACAGGAAGTAGAGAAAAAATTGTCTTTTTTGGATTCATTAGTTATAAGAGTAAAGTGGAATTAGATTTTGAAATTTATCGGAAAAACACACGTTCAAGTACATTTCGAACAATTCGAACTACGGCTAGCAACGCAAAATGGCAGCTTTTAATATTATGGTTTATAGATTAGTTAATACTCCGATGAATAAAATAGACTTAAAAGAACCGGCGGTTATAAGAGAAATAGTTAGATTTAATAGATATAACGAAAACATAATTTAAAAATTAGTTCGAACACAAAAGTGGAATAAAGTAAGAAGGGCAGCTAGCAGACTCGCCAGTGCGAAGTAACAAAAAGTAATTAAATTGCTCATTTTATGTTATCAGGGCATTTAAAATGGACTATTTAGAATATTTTAAGAATTTTGGTTTTACTATAGTAATATCTAAAAATATTAAATTAAGAGATTTGTTAGGTAACCATAAAAATAAAATATTGACTTATTTAGTCATATTCATTATGTTGCTTAGAGTAAGTTTTTCTGCTCTGTAAACTCCTTATAAATTTTACTCTTCGCCGGCGACTTCAGACACAGTGTCTATTGGCTCTCAATGGAAAAATACTCGCTGGAGCGCAACATGCGCACCAACGGCGACCGGCCTTACGCTGATTGACTGCTGTGGCTCGGCACGGGCGCGCTCAACAACGAACCGGAATACGTGACTGTTCCGGTCAGTGCGGTAAGCGAATCTTTTGCATTTCTATTAGATTGTGTTTAACCGCGATCGATGTCGTTGGACAACTTCCGCGATTGCGCTAAACATATTGTTTTGTGTGTTACAAATGACGAGTGCTAGAACATCAACGATCAGGTGCTACGCAGTCGAGTTCAGGGGTCGTAGAGGGTGTACATCACCACCGACACCGTCATCGTAGTCGACGACGACGACGAGGCGGCCAATTTTCCCATATAGTTTCTCAACACTCTGGAAACGAATAACTTGCCGCCGTACAGGTTGACTCTGAAGGCGTCTGCGATCGTCATGTTGCTGAAGAATCTGGACACGACCAGACGGCTGTGCAACGGCACCGGACTGGTAATTACTTAGCTCAGACAAAAATAATTGTAAAGGTTAACTGTTGACAGATCTCGACGCAGAGGAGATAGCCGTTCCAATCGTTCAGAAGAGGACGTCCGGGTACGGCGACATTCCGCGCCGCATATGTCGATACCAGTTTCCCGTGAGGCTCTGCTACGCCATGTCCGTCAACATGTCGCAGACGTTCGATCGTGTCGCCCTTACGCCAACGGTACAGCCGTTCGCCCGCGGACAGCTGTACGTGGCGTTTTCGCGGGTGCTCCACCAGAATTCCATCAGGGTGTTCACTTTTTCGTGCGTTGGGAAAAACGTCGAGTACAGGGAACCATTAGAATAATTTGAATGTAAATCACGTTTTTTGAACGGATTACGTGGTGTAATCCGAGCAAAATGCTTGACTGCTGGCACAGGTTGTTTCGATGTGCCAGCCGCGACGAGCGTGACTTGAGCGTTTATACGATTATTCTTACTGTGTCCCCGTCGCCTTGAAACGGCTTGGTGTTGTGAATTTGCCATTTGAAATGACATCTCTACGGGTGTGGAAATTTCAATTTCGCGTGGAAAGATTGTATGACAACCTTCACGTGGTTCTNTGGAAAGATTGTATGACAACCTTCACGTGGTTCTCTCTGAATGCGAATCCGTTACATTTACATATAATAGTAATATAAATTTTAAAAATATTTCCATTACAATTAGATACAAGAGTCGCTTTTTAACACGCGGATGTGTAACAAATGACATACGTTATAATAAAAATTTATTATTATTTATTTGTATATTATAATATTTTTATTTGTTCGATTACCATTCGATTTCTTTTCCAGAACTTAAATGAATTAACAAAAATAACTTGGAGGACGTTGGTAACACAACGAACGTTTCGACAAAATAGTATCAACTTATGCACATTATAACTAATACACGACAATTTACTTTCTCCGCTTCATTATAAATTAGTATCGACCATTTACAATACAAATGTTAATATTGTCTATTATATAACTTTTCACCTCAAAAGATCAAATATAATATAACATTTATATGTCAAATAATTGTACAAATCATTTTTTTTTTTTTTTGCCTGCTCATTAATAAGTTTTAGTTTAATATATTAAAATTTAGTTTAATATATTAAAATTTGCTTTTATTTTAACTTTTTCATTTCAATATGAAAAACTTTCATCTTATGTATTAGGTTTGAAATGTTGTTGGTAAATTTTTCACTAACGTATTCAACATTTTTTTTTAATATATTTGAATTTACATTACTGTCATTATTATAATTTGAAAATTGGAATAGTATCATTCCAGAATACACACGATATTATTGCTAGTATTATTATTTTATTACTATTAAGATTATTTTTATTACATTAAATAATTAAATAATATTATTATGAACTCTTTTTAATTATTTTCATTTAACGACAACCAATTTTTGTTTGTGATATTATTGTTACACTATTCTACATGTAAACATGACAATAATTGTTTTTACATATTTGGTGGTATTCCCGCGGGTTTGTTAACGTTCGTAGTTTTATTTTGTCTTAAGTGTTTGGCTATGTCGAGGATAAGGAATAAGATGAGTGGATTGTATGAATGAATGCAGAATGAATTTTACAATATATAATTATAACAAT